AAAATTCTGTTTTTCATGAGACCCACACAGCCCCAGATAGAAATAATCTCAGGGACTTTTTTCAAAAACCACATGGTTTTGATTCATATAGTCAAGAAAGGCCATTCTATCAGGAATGCATTGCCTCCCAGTTCCAGAGGCCAGAAGTCCCTATAGATGAAGGTGCCAGCAGGGCCATGCTGCCACTGCAGCGCCCCATTGCAGCTCCCATGGCAGGCCCAGAAGCATCAGAGGCAATTCTATTAAGAGACGTCACCCCCACTGCCCGCCTTGACCAGCCTTTCCTCTTTCTCCCTCTGCATCTGTGTGGAATGGTGAGCTCATGGCTTGTTGCTTTCCAGTGATCAGTTCCCCTCAGGACTTTCTTTGGTGTCTGAATTGAATAATCCCAGGGCTGCTGAAATGAAGTACCACAGCTGGAAGGTGGCTTAAACATCAGGAATGCATGGCCTCCCACTTCTGAGGCCAGAAGTCCCGACAGATGAAGGTGTCGGCAGGGCCATGCTGCCACTGAAGGCGCCAGGGAAGCCTCTGTTCGGGGCCTCTGTCCCATCTCTCCTAGCTTCTGGGGGTTTCTGGGCCTGTGGTGGCGTAACTCCCGTCTTCCCATGGTGCTCTCCCTGTGTGCATGTCTGTGTTCGGATTTCCCCTCCTTATTTTATTTATTTTTTGACACAGGGTCTTGCTCTGTTGCCCAGGTTAGAGTGCAGTGCTGCAATCATGAATCACTGCAGCCCTGACCTCCCAGGCTCAAGCCATCCTCCCACTTCAGCTTCCCAAGTCGCTGGGACTATAGGCACACGCCACCAAATCTAGATTCCCTCCTTCCTTCCCTCCCTCCCTCTTTTCAGATGGGGGTCTCCCTGTGTTGCCCAGGCTGGTCTCAAACTCCTGGCCTCAAGAGATCCTCCTGCTTCAGCCTCCCAAAGTGCTGGTATTACAGGAATGAGCCACCATGCAGACCAAATTTTCCCCTTTTATAAGGACACCAGTCATATTGGATCAGGACCCATCCTGCAGACCTCATTTTCACTTGGTAAATAACCTCTTCAGTTAATGCCATATTGTGCAGTATAGAGTTTCAGTAAAGGAGTTTTAGGGAGAGACAATTCAGCCCATAACAGGGTCCTCATCTTTCACTGCCACATCCACTGCCAGGTGTTTGTTCAGGCTCAAAGTCCAGGTCAGAGGAATAGAGATAGTGTCCATACTGGCCCTCCGGTGCCACCTTTTTCCTGGCATCATGGTGGGCACCTAGCTCACAGAAATGTTTTCCCTGGCTTTCTCAGAGCTCACCCTCATCTCTGGCCTTACCATTCCCAAAGAAAGAAAATCATGTGCATGCTTGAGTTTCCTTTCCGATAGTTTTAGAGAAATCTCTCCCTTTCTCAAAAGCTGGAAAGATTCACATCATCATCTGTAGCACAGCTGTTCCGGAATCCCAGAGCCCAGGAGGTGGCCACGCTGCCTGTTCCCCATCCTGGCCCTTCTACCATGTGACTTCAGCATCCTAAGGGGAAAAGCTGTCCTCAGTGCTCTCTGACTCAGGGCCAATTTCAAATTGTACCACTCGAACCAGCTTATTGAAATGGAAAAGAAATGGTTCCACTGCCTTGCAGTCTCATCTTCCCTCCCTGCTAAATTCCCCACTTAGTTCATACCATCTTTTGATATATGATGTGGTTTACTTATTTTCTTTAGCGTTTGTCTCTCACATTCAAATGTAAGCTCTATGAGGACAGCCATGTTTCTCTCTTTTGTTTACTGATGCATCCCCAACACCTAGAAGTGCCTGGCACATAGTATATGGTTTAAAAATATTTGACTCAATTGCTGTGCCCTCTCTCTCCCTCCCCACCCAATTCACATATGTGGTCCATGTTTAACAGCAGATATTCATCTCAGACTTGCGATTGGGATTGCAGCTGTTTTTCATTTCTCTGTGCATTGCATATATTTCTACAGAGTTCATTCATTTTGTTCATATTGATGAATTTGAGGATGAGGATTAGTGAAAACCCACTGATTTTTCCCATCTAACATAGAAGCTCTGTGCCAACTCACCCCGCCTCGCCTCTTCTGACTGTGGCACCCTGAAGTCACCCTCCCATCTCTCATCCTCAAGCTACTCTCCTAGCTCAGAGCTGATTCCCTTTCCCTGGGAAGCACTTGAGTAGAATGTTCATCTCTGCTTCTCCTCATCTCTTTCAAGAATCTTTTCTAGTCTCCACTCTCCCCAACCCTTTTTGGTGACTCTATAAATAACTGACTGTGATCATCAGTTTTAAGTGTTAACTTGACTGGGACACAGGGTGCCCAGATATTTTATTAAACATTATTCTGGGTGCTTCTATGGGGGTGTTCCTGAAGGAGACTAACATTTGAGTTGGTGGACTCAGTAAAGCAGATGGCCTTCCTCACTGTGAGAAGGAGTCATCCTATCCACTGAGGGCCTGAATAGAACAAAAAGGTGGAGGAAGGGAGAATTCACTTTCTCTGTCTGACTGCTTGAGAGGGACACTGATCTCTTGTCCGTGGACAAGGACTTAACAACACTGGCTCTCTGGTTCTCAGGTCTTTGGGCTCAGAGTGGAACTACACAACTATCTTCCCCAGGTCTCCAGCTTGCAGAGAGCAAACTCTGAGACTTCACAGATTCCATAAGCACATTAGCCAATTTCTTATGATAAAGCTCTTTATGTGTAATCCCAGGAGCTGCTCTTCATGTAGGAAAATAGGAATGCTGCCCCCTGGAGTTGTGCAGCACGCCAGCTATGAATGTTAGAATTGTCACACCCGAGCATGTCTACATATTATATATAAAGAGATTTATAACAAGATCTGTTATATGTATATCCTCTTGACTCTGTTTCTCTGGAGAACTCTAATATACTGGCAAAGAGAGCCTTGCTTTCTTCTCCCTGTTTGCCCAGCTGATTCCAAAATTACTAAGAAGCCTAGGGCAGAAAGGGGTAAGATTAACCTGGGTATGGCCACCTACTTGCATAATCCCGGGGGCTGCTCTTCATATAGAGAATGAAAATGCTAGCCCCTGGAGTTGTGCGGCATGCCAGCTGTGAGCTTTAGAACTATCACACCCACACATGTCGACATAATGGCGACTCTTAAACTAGTTTCTCCCTGAACTCCAGCCCCATCTATCCAGAAGCCTATTCACCATCAGCATCTGAATTTCCAAGCAAACTGAAGTTTCAAGCCTAGCTGGTCCAGCCCTGAGCTCCTGACATTCCCCCAGCTCTGCTGCTTACCACAGAGAATGGCAGCTCCTTCCCTCCAGCCATCCAATCCCAAGCCCTGGCAGCAGTTTTTCTCATGCACCACATCCACTACATTATCAAGTCCTGTTCCCCTTGCTTCAGCTTACGTCCAGCATCACCTGTGTCCCTGCTTCCCTGCTTCCCTGATCCAGGGAAGAAGCCTACACTCAAGCTGATTTTCCTGCAATGTCTGGTTCTACTAAAATGCAAATGATACAAAGAAATTGAAACATCACATTTTAAATGTGAAGTATATTTCTTGCAGATCCATGCCTGCTCATGGTTCAATAAACTGCTGCCTATGTGATTTGAGGTCAGGGCATCAAAATGCTTTCCTGTTGCAAAAACTCTATCCTTTGGTCACAAACCCAGAAGTCAAACTGGGTAGAAATGTTGCATGTCAAGAAACATGCCTCTTGTGATGCAGACAGTTTGCCTGGGAGGATCACTCCTGTGTCTCTTCCCACAGGTTACCAGAAAGCATGGCCCTAAGAGGGGTGGAGGTGGAGATGTTGATGCTGGTTACGTAACACTGGCCTCCTCCATTTGTAAGGAGCTATTAATTCTTCCAAATGTGGAGTAAGGCCATACGAGGTGGCTCAGGGCCTGTAACCCCAGAACTTTGGGAAGCTGAGGCAGGTGGATCACCAGAGGTCAGGAGTTCCAGACTAGACTGGACAACATGGTGAAACCCCATCTCTACTAAAAACACAAAAATTAGCCAGGTGTGGTGGCACATGCCTGTAGTCCCAGCTACTTGAGAGGTTGAGAAATGAGAATCGCTTGAATCCAGGAGGCGGAGGTTGCAGTGAGCCAAGATCATGCCACTGTACTTCAGCCTGGGCAACAGAGCAAGACCGTCTCAAAAAAAAAAAAAAATGGATTAAGCAGTTAAAGCTTGCCCATAATTCAGGAGGAGAGTAACTGAGACATCTGAATCCTGCTTTTCCAAATGAGGGAACTCCAGGCAGAGATGTTCGGTGAGTTTACCAGGAGTTGTCCCTGACTCAGTAGTTCAGCCAGTACCCAAAATCACATCTCCTGGCTTGGGTATTTGATCTAATACTCCAACTTCTAGGAACAATATTTTCGGTGATGTACCCCAAAGGTAAGCCCTGGCAACTTCTGGGAAAAGTATCAAAGCACAGGAGGGGTTACCCAAAAGAGACTTCCCCATCCACCTTCGCTGACCTCTCCTTTCTCCTAGGGTCACTACACTCAAGCTGGCCACCAACCTCTCAGGCCTTAGAGCTCCAGCACTTTTATTCTCTCTGCACTAGGGATGAGACAGCAAGGCTTCAAGTGTCAGGTCACCCCATGACTTAACATTGAATTTTTCTATGGTGCTTCTGAGATGTTTCATCAAGTAACTTTAATTGGTTCTAATTTTATCCTTTCATCCTTACTGCAGAGCAGCTCAACTGACTTGTCACATTCATGCTCAGACAACTAAAAAGTGAAGCTCAGAGCTTTTATGTAACATATATGCATATATTTATATTATCTATAGATTCATACAGTGAGCAGGTCTCAGTGCAAAGCACAAGAAAGTGATTCAAAGGTCATTACTTTATCCCCACATAGTGAGTTGTCATTTCCCTCACCTTGTACAGAGCTGGCCTCTTGCCCAGACAGGTAGGCACTTAGTCCATTTTTATCCACTGATAAAGAGATACCTGAGACTGGGTCAGTCATAAAGAAAAGGAGGTTTAATGAACTCACAGTTTCACATGGCTGGGGAGGCCTCACAATCATGGCAGAAGGTGAGAGAAAAACAAAGGCACATCTTCCATGGTGGCAGGCAAAGAGAGAGTGAAAAAAAAAAAAAACGAGCGAAAAGGGGCTTCCCCTTATAAAACCATCAGATCATGTGAGACTTATTTACAACCACAAGAACAGTATGGGGGATACCACCCCCATGATTCAATTAATTCCCACTGGGTCCCACCAACAATGTATGGGAACTATGGGAGTTACAATTCAAGATGACACTTGGCTGGGGACATAGTCAAACCATATCAGCATTCTTCAGATTTAGCCTGTGTTGGGGTCTGGTGTGGGTGGGCTTCCACCACTGTCCAGGGCCTCTCATACCCTGAATGCAGCTCTGAGGAAGAGGGTTATTGCCTCGGCTATTGGAAGGAGAGAGCCACATGTGGCATTGGAAGGGGCTAAGCCAGTCTCAGCATGGGTGGGGGTGGGAGGTGTCTCATGTCTCAACATCCTGTCCTGGACACTCCATGGGCCTGAGCAGTCAGCTGCCATGGAAGTATCACTCCACAGTGCCAAGGTAAACAGCTAATGCAGCTTCTATTAGGTTGGTGCAAAGTAATTGTGTGGTTTTTGCCATTACTTTTCATTGCAAAAACTGTAATTACAATAAAATTCTAACAAATGCTCCACAGCAACCACCCAGGCCTCCAGGGTGTGCCAGCATCCCCATACCAAGGGTTTCAATGTCCTACCCTTTCCTCATGCTCTGTGTTGCATCTGGTCCTGTGACACTCCTGCGTGTCCTCCCTGGGCAGGAAGAGAGGCTTCTGTGCTCTGCTTCATCCTTGATTCCAAGAAGCCTGTTTTGGGGGAAATAATTTAAAACCTTCTGCACTTTGTTTTGTGCTGTCTTTTCTGCTCCTACTATCCATTTCTCCTCAAGGCTACATCACATCTCTGCTCCCCAGTCCCACAGCAGTTTATATGAAGAAGAGAGAAAAAAGAAAATCACAAATAACACAATTCCAAGCCATCATCTTGCCTCAAGCACCATTTCAGCCCTTCACAGCCCTGTTCTTGTGATTGCATCTGCCAGGAAATGCCCGGCCTTCACTTGTTCCAGGTGACATCTGTCACTTCCTCCAGCTGCCCTCTCAGGGCCCCTTGCTCCGTGCTCCCAGGCCCATGCCCTGGGTGTGCTTTGATTATGGTACCTCCACGCTGCTCATGGGATCTGCAGAAGACATTGGGGGTTGTCCTGGATTGGGTTCCCTCAGAAGCAGAGTGGATGACAAGGATTTGCATGCCAGCTATTTATTTGGGAGGTGATCCTAGGAAGCACAGTAGGTGGGGGAAGAGAGAGAGAGAGAGGAGGGCAGCAGCCCCTAGAGGACGTGTGGTCAGCAAGTTACCACAGTGGGCCCCTAGGACCTGTGCAGGCCAGTGAAAAGCATGCATCTCAGGATTTCTCCCCAAGAGTAAGGCTCCATGTGCTGACTTCCATCCATCACTGGAGGAGGATATGGCACTTTTGCCAGCTGTGCATAGGCAAAGAGGCTTCTGGAAGCCAAAGCAAGCCTCTGGCAAAGAGAAGCCAGGCCTGTTGGGGCAGTCAGGCTACCTTGGCTCTGCGGGGGAAGGCCCATGCAGATATGGGCTGGCATATGAGCTATGAGTTGCCTTGCAGGGCCAGGGTTATTGCTCGTTTGTTCATATGTGCATTTCTGTTACCCCACTGATGCCCTGATATGCTGTGGGTACCTATAAGATGAAAATAACAAAGACAGGACAAACAATAACAAAATAGCTGCTGGAAGCATTAGCCAGAATGAGCACTGTGCAGAAAGTCTGCCAGATGATGTGCTGTTTTCTCTCTCCAGAAGCCTGTCTTTAGAGTTTTTTCATGTCTGGGTATCCCATCAGTGGACACATGGTGGAAAATATTTAATTCTGTTTTTTTAACATATAAGAGTCAATAGCAGGCCAGGCACAGTGACTCATGCCTGCAATCCCAGAACCTTGGGAGGTGGAGGCAGGTGGATCACTTGAGGCCAGGAGTTCAAGACCAGCCTGGCCAACATGGCAAAACCCCATCTCTACTAAATACACACACACACACACACACACACACACACACACACACACTCTTAGCCGAGTGTGGTGGCAGGTGCCTGTAATCCCAGCTTCTGGGAAGGCTAAGGCAGGAGAATCACTTGAACCCAGGAGGCAGAGGTTTTAGTGAGCTGAGATCACACCACTGCGCTCCAGCATGTGCAACAGAGGGAGACTTCGACTCAAAAAACAAACAAACAAAACAATAACAGCTAATGATTTGTTAATCACATTAGCTGGTTCAATCAGAGAAGAGACCATAGAGAGTCAGGGAAGGGCAAATAGCTCTATGCCATAGAATCTGGCTGGATTTGCCTGATATGCAGAAAATGAACATCCTCACTACTGCTTCCCTTAAATTAGGGCATTTTGCTCACATAGAAACATTGATAGTATGTGTCTCTCTATTCCCTGTTACCTGAGAATTCCAGTGGACTTGCTCACCATGAGGGGAGCACAGTCAGGGAACAGAGCAGATTGCCTAGGGGCTCTTCTGAACCAAGGATTGCCTGAGAGGTGATAACTGAAGCCACAGCTTGGAGGTTCTTTCACCTAGATCCAGCCATGCCTGAAATCTACATACTCCTCATACTATTCAGTTAGGTTAGCCGATAAATTCCTTTTTTGCTAAACCTATCTGAAGTTGGGTTTCTATTCCTTATGACCCAAAGAGTCCTGATTAACCCTCCACTTGCTCTGTGCAGAAACAAAATTCCTCCTTGTTACAGTGGATCTCTGTTCTCTCCAGGTTCTACCCCCCAATTCACTGATTCATTGTGAAACCTTGAAAAAAGTGCCCACCACTTTACAACTTCAAACCCCTCTCCCAAATCCTGATGACTACTCTGATTAGTTTCTTCCTGTCTCTCTGCCCCACTTACTCATCTTGACCACCCTCCCTAGCCAACCACACTACCCAGTCGAAGAAGCCAAGTGTAGACACAGCAGGGTTTTTTGTGTTGTTTTTTTTTTTTAATCATTAAATGCCTTAAGCTTTCTGGGAAAGTTCTCTCCTAGTTTTGAGTCTAATATGGTTCTGGAGCATGAACCTCCCTAAATCATCCATCCATGAACATACAAGGGAGATTTCGGTGACACTGTGATGGTTAATTTTATGTGTCAACTTGACAGGGCCACAGGATGCCCATATAGCTGGTTAAGCATTATTTCTGGTGTGTCTGTGAAGCTGCTAGTGGGAGAGATGAGCACTTGAGTTGGTGAACTGAGGAAAGCAGATGGCCCTCCGCAGTGTGGGTAGGCCTTCTCCAACCCATTGAGGGCCTGAATAGAACACAAAGGTGGAAGAAGGTTAGATTCCCTCTCTGTCTGACTGGGTGAGCTTGGACATCAAGCTTCAGCACCCCCGATTCTGAGGGCTTCAGATCAAATTAGAATTGACACCACTGGCTCTTCACCTCTCAGGCCTTCCAACTGTGCATTCTGCTCTCCCGGGTCTCCACTTGTAGACAGAAGACGGTGGGACTTCTCAGCCTCCATAATCACAGAAGCAATGCCTTGTAGCATTTCCATTTATAGAAATCTCTTATTGGTTCTGTTTTTCTGAACAATGCTGACTAGTACAGAAATGGACTGGTGGCTGCTTACCCAATCTTCATTTTCTTTACCCAGTATCCATTTCCCACTTCTTCCTTAAAAACAGAACCCAATATTGCTCTCAATGGCAAGATGCTGAGTTATAATACTGCATTTCCCAGACTCCCTTGCAGCTGAGGGTTGTCAGGAGTCACAGTCTTGACTAATGAGAGGTCAGTGTAAGTCTCTGGATGGGGCTTCCAGGAGCATTCCTTAGAGAAGATGAAATAAGAGGGCAGGTCCGCTTTTTTGTTCCTCATTCTTTAGGTTTTTCCTTCCTGGAACATGAACGTAGTAGCTCTAGTAGTTACATTGTGACTCTGAGGGCCACCTTTCTAGAAGGAGCCCAGGTTACTGAAGACATTGTGAAGCTACTGTTTGGGTTCTAGGCTCTCGGCCTTCAGATTTTTTTTATTATAGAATAAAAAAATAAAAGCTCTATTTTGTCTAAATCACTTGTTACTTGATACACACTTCTATGTACGCCATTTTTGTTTAAAATAAAGCTCTCTAAAAGTACATCTACCATTTGATCCAGCAATCCCACTACTGCGTATCTACCCAAAGGAAAATAAGTCACTATATTAAAAAGACACCTGTACCCCTATGTTGATTGCAGTACAATTCACAATTGCAAAGGTATGGAACCAACCCAAGTTGCCCATCAAGCAATGCATAAAGAAAACGTGGTCTATATTCACCAAGGAATACTACTCGGCCATAAAAAAGAATGAAATATAACGACTTTTGCAGCAAGCTGGATGGAGCTGGAGGCAATTATTCTAAATGAAGTAACTCAGGAATGGAAAACTGAATACCACATGCTTTTTCACTGACAAGTGGGAGCTAAGCTATGGGTAAGCAAAGGCATGCAGAATAATATAGTAGACTTTGGAGACTCAGTAGGGGGAGGGTGGGAGGGTGAGGGAGAAAAGGTACATATTGGGTGCATACTAAGGTGATGGTTGTGCTGAAATCTCAGACTTCACCACTGTACAATTTATTCATGTAATCAAAAACCAATTGCACCCCAAAGGCTACTGAAATAAACACAGTTTAAAAAATAAAGTTCTCTAAGCCATTCAAAACAGAATATTGCTGATTTTTTTTTTTTTTTTTTTTTTTAAAGACAAGGTCTCCTCTGTCACCCAGGCTGGAGCACAGTAGTGCAATCGTGGCTCACTGCAGGCTCAACCTCCCGGGGCTTAAGCAATCCTCCCATCTCAGCCTCTTGAGTAGCTGGGGCTACAAGTGCATAGTAGCCACCACACCAGGCTAATTCTTTGTTTATTGAGACAAGAGTTTTGCTTTGTTGCCCAGGCTGGGGTGCAGTGGCACAATCTCGGCTCACTGCAACCTCCGCCTCCTGAATTCAAATGATTCTCCTGCCTCAGCTCCCAAGTAGCTAGGATCACAGGCATGCACCACTATTTCTGGCTAATTTTTGTATTTTTAGTAGAGATGGGGTTTCACCATGTTGGCCAGGCTGGTCTCAAACTTCTAACCTCAAGTGATCTGCCCACCTCAGCCTCCCAAAGTGCTGGGGTTACAGGTGTGAGCCGCTGTGCCCAACCCGATGCCCCCTTGCGCTGCAGTGGCGCTCAGTGTTGGCTGCACTGTAGAATCACCTGGTGTGCTTTAAAAATGTCAATGCCTGGGTGCCCCTCGGAGATTCTTACGTAATTGGTCTGGGGCATGGCCCAGGTCTTGGGATTTTTAAAAGCTCTCAGGGTGCTCCTAATGTGTAGCCAAGGCCAAGAACATGCTGCTTTTCTCTTTTCCAAGGTAGAGTAATTGGCTAATTGATTCCCTCATCACTCTCATTAAACACTGATGAGAACTGCCATGCCCCAGGCTTACAGCCCAGTGGCTCTAAACTAGAGCAGGCATCAGAATCACCTGGAGGGTTTGTTAACACACAGGTGTGGGCCTCATCCCCACAGCTTGATTTAATGGGTCTGGGGTTGGCCAGGTAATCTGCATTTTTCACAGCCCCCCCCCCCCCCCAGGTGCTGCTGGTCACTGTCCTGGGGTTGAGGGATTTTTTTTCTTTTTTGCCTCCCACTTCTTCCTTCTGTATTCTTGTCCCCCTCTCCCAGCCTCCTCTAGGTCTCAAGTGCTGTTTGCTTTGCTGCTTACCTGCTATTAAAAACAGCACCAAACTTATTCCCTTTTAAAGTCATTTTAGGCAGTGGCACTTGAGAAACTTATGCCAGGATTCTCCCTCCTTTACATCTGAATATAAGAACTTCCACTTGTCTTCCAAGTCTCCACTAAGATGTCACCTCCTCCAGGAAGTCTTCCTTTGGGCCCCCAAGTCTCTGTCCTCAGGGCCTCTGGCACTTCCATCTCCTCACATTTGGGTGTAAATCTCTAGTCTACCAAGACCAGCTCGGCCGTAGAGCCCCCCACCCAGGTGGCGCTGAAGGCATTAAGAAGCAGAAACCCAGATAGAACAGCAAAGTGAGGCTATCCGAGAGCCAACAGCCTTCCAAGCTGGGATCCTTGATGGCTGACAGCATTCCGGGCTGAGGGCCTCGAGCAGACGCTGACCCACACATTTATTCTCTCGGAACAGGTGATTCTTATTAACAAACAGGTGTTTGGTATTTTCTCAAAACACAAAAATAAACTAGGTAGGCACTGGTGCCCGCTTACCACTTATCACAGACAAACTAAAAAGTATTCTCCACGAGGGAGCCACGGGGGCAGCGTCACATGTCCAGCGCTTAAAGAATTGTTTTAACCAGCAACAGACATGTACTGTCTTGCCACTTTGGGATGCCCCAAATAGTTTTCCACTGTAGGGGGGAGGTGGGGGGCAGCTAGGTTTTCCTTGCCATCGTTCTTCCTAGCAAACAATATATTCTATCATACACTCAGAATTTCTCAACACTGGTATCCTAAAGACAGGAACACGTTTTATCTCTATAGGCCCAGGACCCTGCACACGGTGGGTATGCAGTTAGAATTCTCCTGCATGAAAGCAAGAGGGTGCCGTTGGGCAGGTTGGGCCTCTGCTGTAGGGGAGGATGAGGCAGGATGGACAACTCACCGAATAGTAAGCCAGGCCTCGGGTTCATTAAGCATGACGCACTTGATGCCGTTCTGTCGGGAACTGGCAGGCAGCTCTTCCCAGAAAAGTGGCTTTGTGACACAGGAGCTAATAAGAAATTATTTAGGCAGTTAGCCAGGGTCAGGGAGTCCTTGGTAAGGTTTTCCTTTTAATAAAAAGCAGCCTGAAAAATCAAGCTGTAAGCCTAGAGAAGCAGGTTGGAAGCTTGCATAGGTGATGCCGGCAGCTATGCCAATAGAAAAGGAATACCTGCCAGCTACTCAGGAGGCTGAGGCGGGAGAATTGCCTGAACCCAGGAGGCGGAGGTTGCGGTGAGCCGAGATCGCGCCATTGCACTCCAGCCTGGGTAACAAGAGCGAAACTCCGTCTCAAGAAAAAAAAAAAAAGGAATACCTGCAAGCCAGGCAGATTCAAAGAGGACGGGGGTTTTCCTCTTCCCTTTTCGTCACCACGTGTGCAGGCAACGGGGGTGCTGGCCAGGTAAAGACTCATTTACATAATAAAATATTAGGGCGGGACGGCCAGCCTCCTCGTGCCCTGTGTAAATGGCACACCCGGTCCAACCAATCCAATACACCCTATGCAAATCAGACACCGCCTCTTCAAGCTCATCTGTAAAACCAACCACATCTTGCCCCAAACCGGGGAAACCCGTTCAGAAACCCCCTCTCTCTGCACGGTGGGGCTTTATTCTTTGGCCTGTTAAACTTCTCGCTTTTAAACCCACTCTTTGTTTGTCTGCGTCTTCGATGTCCTTGGTGTGAGACAACCAATCTCAAGTATTACCCCAGACAAACGATGCCGCTTCACTTGCAGGGTGCCGGACGCAGCCCATTTCACTGCCTGGAATAGAACAGCCATGTGGGGAAGCCACTAGGGACCCTGCTCGCTGTAGGCGAGTGTGGTATTTTGCTTAAGATTTCAGAACGTGGCAGAAGGGATAAACCTTCCAGAGGTACACAGAGAGCATCCTGGTAAGAACAGAGGCATCACAAGGTGTCAGCCAGTGGAAGGATTCCCAGGAGGGCCGGCCACATAGATAGAAAGCTTAGCATGGTGGCCGGGCACGGTGGCTCACGCCTGTAATCCCAGCACTTTGGGAGGCCGAGGCGGGTGGATCAGGAGGTCAAGAGATCGAGACCATCCTGGTAAACATGGTGAAACTCCGTCTCTACTAAAAATACAAAAAATTAGCTGGGCATGGTGGCGCATGCCTGTAATCCCAGCTACTCAGGAGGCTGAGGCAGGAGAATTGTCTGAACCCAGGAGGCGGAGGTCGCGGTGAGCCGAGATCACGCCATTGCACTCCAGCCTGGGTAACAAGAGCGAAACTCCGTCTCAAAAAAAAAAGAAAGCTTAGCATGGTTTAGCCCAATAGTCTGCTGTTGCTTAAAATCAGAGCTCCTCTGCCTTCAGAGGGTGGAGGACCCTCACCCTAGAAAAGTGGATCTATGCACAAGTGTCATTGTCTGTTTTCGGGATTTGAAGAATGATCCTGAGGATTTTTCAGGCAGAGAAATGGCAGTATTTCAGGCTGGCATCTGGCGTGAGAAATGCACAGAGCAGCTGCTGAGACAGCTAACGACAAGGTGTTTGGCAGGAAACAAGGCCAGCTGGTGACAGAGACAGCCACATAATTGTAACAGGATGGATATTGACTAAAATGAAATATTGATTAGCAATAATATGGTCCAATGAATGGGGACATAGCCTGGAGACATGTACGAAATTCTTGCCTTTTCCAACCATTCATTTATCCAACAAATATTGTGACTGGCACTGTTCTGTGAGCTGGGCATACAGCAACATCCCTGTCCTCTTGTGTCTGACCTACTAGTGCAGACACAGAAAACAGACAAATAAGTGACTTCAGGAGGCAAACGGTGCTACGATGATGGGGAAGGGAAACTTTGAATAGAAACGTGAATGGCTGGCCGCGGTGGCTCACGCCTATAATCCCAGCACTTTGGGAGGCCAAGGCGGGTGGATCACGAGGTCAAGAGATCGAGACCATCCTGGTCAACACGGTGAAACCCCCGTCTCTACTAAAAAAAATACAAAAATTAGCTGGGCATGGTGGCGCACGCCTGTTCCCAGCTACTCGGGAGGCTGAGGCAGGAGAATTGCCTGAACCCAGGAGGCAGAGGTTGCAGTGAGCTGAGATCGCACCATTGCACTCCAGCCTGGGTAACAAGAGCAAAACTCCGTCTAAAAAAAAAATAAAATAAAATAAACGTGAATGAAGTGAAGGAATGTGGCATGTGTATATCTAGATAAATGGTCCAGATAAAGGGGACAGCAAGTACGAATGTCCTGGGGCAGGAATGCTCTCTGCATATCTGAGAAACAATGGGATGAGAATGGCGTGAAGTGAGCAAGAGGAACAGGAGGAGGTGAGGTCTGTCTCAGAGGACGAAGGGGATTCTTGAATTTTACTCCCACTGAGCTGGGAACCATTAAGAGATTTTGTGTAGGAGAGTGATCGGTTTCAGTGGCTCATTCCTGTAATCCCAGGGCTTTAGAGGGCTGAGGCAGAAGGATTGCTTGAGGCCAGAAGTTCAAGAGCAGCCTGGGCAACATAGTGAGACCCCCCCTCCCCCATCTATACAAAAAGTGAAAACATTGACCAGGCATGGTGTTGTGCCTGTAATCCTAGCTACTCGGGAGGCTGAGGCAGGAGGATTTCTTGAGCCTAGAAGGTTGAGGCTACACTGAGCCAAGATTATGCCACTGTACTCCAGCCTGGGCAACAGAGCAAGACCCTGTCTAAAAAAAAAAAATCCGTTTCCAATGGGAAAAATGCATGGACATAGTCATAGTAAACACTCTCGTGACAGTTATAACTAGTTATGCCCCCTCACCTTAACAGATAACTTAGCTACTCTTCCTTGGTCCAGCTCAGTGGTCAGCAAACTTTTTGTATAAAGGGGCAGAGAGTAAATTTTAGGCTTTGAGGACCACGTGGTCTCTAGCATAACTGCTCAACTCTTCCACTGGAGCGTGCGTGCAGCCATGGATGATGGGTGAGTGAATGAACACTGCTGAGTTCCAGGTGATCAGCATCCCAGTTTGCCTGGTACTAAGAGGTTTTCCAGGACCTAAGACTTTCAGGACTCAACTGGGATAGTCCAGGCAAGCAAGGACAGTTGGAAACATCCAGGTAAAGTTTATTTATTTATAGTCCAGTGGTTGCAGCTGGATGCAAAGAAGTCAGAGGTGATCTCCCGCTTACTTGGGTGTGCCTGCTACTGTATTTCTAGCCTCTCTCACTGACAACCTGAATGTCACACATCACAAAATATTCGTAAGTTTTCATATGAATTCACACACAAATTTCATATCAAGTTCACATATGAAATATGTCTCTTTTGACTTTTTTGAGCTTGAAGAAAATGCAGTTACCATACTTAGTTCATACAGAAACAGGCAAGGGTCTGGATTTGGCCCACAGACTACAGGTCTTCATGATCTAACTAACCCCTGGTCTTCATGATCCCGTCAGTAAAACAGCAGCGGCCACCATGCCTGTCATCATGTGCTTCCCCTCCCACCTGATGCCAGGGGTGGCACAGCCCCTGCCTCCTCTCCTTCTCCTCCTTGCTTGTCACATTCCTGCCACAGCAGCCCCCTCGGTGTTCTTTGGCTGATCCCAACCCCGTCCCATTGGAAAACTTCATGTATGTGTTTTCTTTGCCTGAGAATTTGAGAATTCTTCCCTACTTTTTTTTTTTAGATGGAGTCTCACCTCTTACCAACAAGGAGCGTAGTGGTACAATCTTGGTTCGCTCACTGCAACCTCCACCTCCCTGGCTTAAGCGATTCTCCAGCCTGAGCCTTCTGAGTTGGCAATACAGGCGTGTGCCACCATGCCTGGCTAATTATTTTGTATTTTAGTAGAGACAGGGTTTCACCATGTTGCCCAGGATGGTTTCAAACTCCTGAGCTCAGGTAATCCTCCCGCCTTGGCCCAAAGTGCTGGGATTACAGAGGTGAGCCACTGCACCCAGCCTCTTTCCTTATCTTTTTACCTGGAGAATGGATAGCTCCTGCTCCATGTAAAGATGACATGTTACTTCCTGCATGCAACTCTCTCGTACATAACCCGTTTGTATTTTCCTGCCCTAACCGTTGAGCAGCAGCACGTGTTGTGGTCCACAGTGGAAGCTCTGCCCATTGGGAACACGTTGCTTAACTGAGACCATCAATGATCAGGCTCAGGAATCCAAATAGAGATGCAGGGAGGGAGGAAGTCACTTGTAGCATAAGAAGAAACAAAGGACACCCAAAAGGAGGCAGGCAGAGGCCATGAGGCAGCAGGGGCCATGGACCCCAGGGTCAGCAGAGGACACGAGTAAGCAGCAGTACAGTGAGCAAAAATGGTCGGCAAGGATGGAGGCAGCTGGGGTAGCAGGAGGAGCAGAGAAGTGGAGCAAATAAATCCCCATCACAGTAGAGGACAGCTTGATTGCTACAGCCTTCAGGTGACCAGATGCCCCCATCTCTGAGGTGCCCTTAAATCATGACTGCATTTTCCACAAGGTCCTGCCTTCTGAGTTTTCATGTGATTTCTCGTCCCCTGCCATGTGGCCCCTTCTAAAAAGCTTACCCTGGCTCAGTGCCTTGTACATAGCAGGTTTTTAAGAAATACTGTCATGAGAATGAATTATTTGAGATAATGTAAGAAAAAAAAATGCTTCTTGCAAACAAAATTTTCTAATATACTATCCGAATTTTGGGGTGGCTATTTGGAGTACTTCCTTGGGGACACGTGTAGCTCCTATGTCCATGTTTCACCCAACACAGCAATATTATCCACTCTAATTGCTGAGCAAAGGCTCCAATCTGAGGTATTTATAACTTAATGCAGAGACCAGAAAAAGCTCAGGCACAGATTGTCAGTGCTCATGAGAGAGACTGGACATTTAGAAATATAGTAGCTGGCACATCAAACGAGTGGGAGATCACCTCTGACTTCCTTGTATCCAGCTGCAATTGGAAGCCAAGCAGAAAAACGGGACAAAATGTGCCACAGGAAGACAGGCAGCCCTGAGAAACAGGAGGACTTTAATTAGCTCTTGACTGCACTAAATGTGCCAAAAAAGTGAAAAGGAAGAGACTTGTTCTCTGGGTAGAACAAGATTAGTTCTTGTCTGATGTATTTAAGGGGTCAATAGGCACTCAATGGAACAATCCCTCCCACCCCTTTCCCTCTTACCTCAAGCCTTTACAAATGAACTTTGGCCAGGTGTGGTGGCTCACAACTGTAATCTCAGCATTTTGGGAGGCTGAGATGGGTTGGTCACTTGAACCCAGGAGTTCAAGACCAGCCTAGGCAACATGGTGAAACCCTGTCTCTACAAAAAAATTAAAAATTAGTCAGGTGGGTGGTACACGCCTGTAGTCCCAGCTACTTGGGAGGTTAAGGTGAGAGGATCGCTTGAGCCCAGGATGTCAGGGCCACAGTGAGCCAAGATCGTACCACTGCACTCCAGCATGGGCAACAGAGTAAAACTCTGTCTCAAAAAAAAAAAAAAAAAAAAAGCGTTTTATCCGAATTAAAGCTGGATTTTGCTGTCAGGGGAAGCCCTTTATTCAATCTGTTTGGAATACTTGGGGAGCAAGCCTAAAACCCTTTGTACCATTGATGTGATGGTGCAGGGGTCTACTCTAGTACAGAGGACAATCTCCCGAGGGAAGTGTAGCCCCAGGCTCAAAGGTGAATAGGGAATGCTCCCTTCAGCCCAAGCTGCCCGTCAGCACTGGCTTTTCCCTGGTTCAAAAAAAAAAAAGAAGTGACAGTCCTGGTTGAATGAGACATTAAAGTCATCTTACCCAGCTCCTTTGAGAAATTAAAATTCCTCCCATACATGTGCGTTAACACACACCTGCCCCCGGTCACTTCCCAAATAGTACAATGTGCTGCTTTTATTTAAAAGGTGATCTTTTTCTTTGGTATTTGGCTGCATTTTTGAGAGAAAAAAGTACCTACCAAACAAATTCTAGATTCAGAGCTCAGTTGCTGTCTGGGGGAAATTGCTAGGGAATGCTTTGGAACGTAACTCAACCTCCATCAAAGTGAAAACTCTATACTTTGGATGTCAAGGTTCTCCTTCATTGGAGGGCTGCCAGGGTCACCACAAGTGCCAGCATATTCACCTCTTAGTATTATTCATGCCTTTCTCACAAGTCATAGATAGTGTTTTCTTCCTTTGGGCCTCATGGTACGCCCCTTATCTACTTCGAATAACCTGCAGCTCAACCTAGCCATTACTCATTTGCCCATGTGTGTCCTCACTGAGCTG